AAGCTCAGCTACCTGCCTCCAGGCTGGGCCTCCTTGGCAGGGTTGTGGCATCGCTCAGCAGTAGGGAAATCGGTGTTCCAGACGACCTTAAGGACTGAAGCCCAAACCTGACGCTAGCAAAATCCTTTGGTAGTTGATGCGAACTGTGAGAATGATTCCTGCACGGGAACAAAGGCCTCCTTTGCTTTCTCCTAAGGCCACTCCTACCTGGTAACTCACTTATAAACCTCACTCCCACTTTGATAACCAACGAGCGTACGGGCCGTCGTGGCTTGACTACCCGGGATCCGCCTCAGCGTCGACCCGTCCTCTGCAGCCACAGCTCGCTGCCACTGTCGCGCGGGCAATTCCCAGACGTCTAGCTTTCGGCCGCCCGCCCGCTCGCCAGGCTTTTTTTCCTCACAGCCCATCTTTGGTGGCTGTCCTCCAGTTTGCCTGACGCGGGTTCAACTTCACATTATTTCCAGTGTGTTTCTCGCTCCGTTTTTCACCTCCGGATACAATTGTTATCGCCTATTCTGGGAATGATTCTGAGGGAAACAAGCCATCCATTCCCTTCGCATCTAAAGCTGGTATTCACAGGCCGCTCCTGGACTGCTGGCGCGCCCGGCTGGCGCCTAGCGGGCGGGCCCTTGCGGCGGGCCTCTATAAGTGGGGCGAGCGCCAGCGCGCACTGCTTGGAGATTAGGTAGGGTTGGCTTGTGTGTCTTCTTTTTCTCCTGTCACTGTGTGGCGGGCGTGGGGTATGAGGACACGGCGTGGCCGCGAGGGCTAGGGAGTCGGAAGGAGCAGGTAGGCGGTCTCTTGGACCGGGTTTCGTCTGCACCGGGCCGAGCCTAGGTGTCCCTGTGAGAGATGGTGGTGGCATTGGGGGTATCGGTGGGTGGCGATTCCTACGGCTGGGCGAGCGGGGTATTGGAGTGCGGGACGCCTCAGTCTGCACCGCGGCGGGCTTCGCGTTTATGTTGCCCGCGTCGCTGGTCTCCGCCATCTTGATCTCGGCGGCGTTGGGGGGTGACTGAGTGTTCTAAGGTTCTCTACCCGCTAGCTACAATGCTTTCTCAGTTTGGGCGGTGGCAATTTTTTTACAACCAGAAAGAAGAGCTGGGGCGAAGAGGAGAGGGATTGTTCTGTAGGGGCAGAGAAGGACTGTCAGCTTATTATCAGT